GCATCTGCAAATCCCTCAACTAACTGGTTATCACTTTTCTTGAACAATATACCCTTGCCAGGAGTTCCTTTCAAATATCTAAGGATCTGATCAACAGCACACTGATGTCTCTCGGTTGGAGCATGCATAAACTGACTAACTATGCTAACACTATAGGCAATATCGGTCCTAGTAAGTGATAGATAGATTAGTTTTTCCACAAGACGTTGATATCTCTCTTTGTTAGCTGGAGGATCATTCTCAGAGATCTTATGCTTCCAATTCTTCTCCAGTGGAGTGCTAGCTAGACGACAATCAAGCTTCCCGGTTTCCTTCAACAGATCTAGGATGTATTTTCTTTGAGAAATGAAAATACCAGTTTTGCTTCTAGCAATTTCCATCCCAAGGAAATAYTDAAGTTTTCCAWGATCCTTAACTTTGAACTCAGATTGTAGTAGGCCCTTGAGATTCGTAATCTCATCATTGTCATCACCCGTGATTACCATATCATCAACATACACAATCAAGATTGATTTTTTTCCATCCCTTGACTGTTTTATGAATAGGGTGTGACCTGTCTATCCTTGTGTGTATCCAAATCTTTTCATAACTGTGCTGAATCGAGTGAACCATGCCCTAGGAGATTGTTTTAATCCATACAGAGACTTTCAATTCACACACTGATCCTGGTTTTTCTTTGTCTTCGAAGCCAGGAGGCAACTTCATGTAGACTTCTTCATCAAGAGTTCCATTCAGTAAAGCATTTGAAACATCCATTTGGTGCAATTCCCAATCCAAGTTGGCTGCCATAGACAAGAGAACCTGTATAGAGTTCAATTTTGCAACTGGTGCAAAAGTTTCTTCGTAGTCAAGCTCGTATGTTTGTGTATACCCTTGAGCAACCAAATGCGCCTTGTATCTCTCTATTTTCCCTTCCAAGCCTACTTWCACCGTAAAAATCCACTTACAGCCCACTAACTTCTTCCCTTCAGGCATGTTTACAACTTCCCATGTATTATTGTCATTTAGTGCCTTCATCTCTTCCAAAACAGCAACCTTCCATTTTGAATCTCTCAAGGCATCATATATATTTGTAGGAATTGTTACATTATCCAGTTGAGATACAAATGCCCTGTGAGTGTTAGATAAACGACAATATGACAAATGATTTGAAATCGGATGTTGAGTACAAGATCTTACCCCCTTTCTTATAGCAATGGGAACATCCAGATCATCAATTGTAACAGCACCTCTTTGTGAATCTTGTGGTGAATTCGCCATAGGTTCCGATGATTGGTTTTGTTGAGTAACACGGAGCCTCCTTGAGTAAACAATTAGTTCACTTTGTTGTTGGACTGATTCTCCCCCTTGACCGAGACCTGTGGTTGTATCTGGTAGGGGTAATGGTGGAGACTCAGAGGATGGTAAAGTGGACACTGATGGAGATTGGGGCAAAGACACAGGAAGAGATATCGAAGGATCCCAATGATTATCTTTAATTAAGTTCTCCCCTTGAAGAGAATCATGGGAATAGAAGGATTGATCTTCCAGGAATGTAACATCATAGGATACATATAATTTTTTTGTGACAGGATTGTAACATTTATTTCATTTTTTAGTGGGAGAGTATCCTATGAAGATACATTTGATGGCCTTTGGATCAAGTTTTCCTCGAGTAGGACTGGTATTATGAACAAACACAGAACACCCGAATATTTTTGGTGGGAGATAGTTGAGTAAACGAATATGAGGGAATTCTTTTTGGAGACAACTGATTGGTGTACGAAATTTGAGGGGTTTTGATGGAAGTCTATTGATTAAATAGGCAGYAGTTAATAYAGATTCTCCCCAAAAATGATGTGGAACAGCACTAGCAAACATGAGTGATCGAGCTACCTCCAACAAATGACGATTTTTTTGTTCTGCAACCCCATTTTGTTGTGGGGTAGGTGTACATGAGCTTTGATGAAATATGCCATTCTGAATGAGGTAATCTCCAAGAATCTATGCAAAGTACTCTCCTCCATTATCTGTGCGGAGTATGTGAATGTTGCATTGGAACACATTCTTTATCATTTTATGGAACTGCTGAAACACATACCCGACATCAGATTTGTTCTTCAAGAGATAGACCCAGCAAGCATGAGTATGGTCATCTATGAAGGTGATGAACCATCTCTTGTTAAATCCACAACCCGTGATGCTCCCCAAATATCACTGTGAACAAGGTGGAACGGTTTGGAAGGTTTGTAGTTGTGAATAGGATAATTTTTTTTGGACTGTTTCGCAAGAACACATGACTCACAATGGAAAGTAGAAGGATCTTTATTGAGAAATAAGTTTGGACAAATACTCGATCTTTATTGAGTCCTTGAAGAAAATCAAATACTCGATCTTTCTCAAGGACTTGATTGTACAGTATTCCATCATCAGTACACTTCCATGGAATTGTATAAAACAAATCCATTTCTTGCCATAGATCAATCAGCCTATTGTAGTACTCTGTTACTGACATTGATCC